CCTGAGCCTCTCTAGGATCCACTCTTCCCATTCTCTTACTTACATTCGCGAGGGAAAGATCTCAATTCGGTCTTTGCCCGACATTCTGACGGTGACAGGTCGGCACGAGTCCCCAGCCGGGCACTAGGGGCTGCACCAGCTTTTCCGCAGCCACCAAACCTCACCCTACCGGAGTCAGCTGGCTGGGGGTCACCTGACCCCTCGCGCTGTTACGGGGCAACAGGATAAGCACTTCACTTCCGTTTCCTGCTAGCTCAGAAGACAAGAGGGCGTGGAGGTGGGCGGGGGCGAGGGGACAGAAATGCCCGGATGCTGAGGCGCGCGCACTGCGGAGCCGCCCCTCAATTCCGGTTGGCCAGCGGGCTTCTCCCCGCCTTCAGCTCCTCGGAGGCTGCGCGAGGCGCTGCACGCGCCGGGCGAAACAGGAGGTAAGAGGACACTCCTCCTCTTCCGCCACTTTTCGTTTTGCTTTCACAGCGCCGCCTCGTGGTTGGATAGAACGTAGCGCGAGAATTCGTTCGTCGGGGGCAAGGAGTCAGAGTCCTACCTCTTCTCTAAGCTTTTCAGGTTACTAAGCGAAAAATACAGAGTGCCCTTTCCCCAGTCCTCTTGTGAGCCGCATTCTTTCCAGTTCTCGGAGGACTTGGACTCTATGGTCGGTGAAGAAGGGCCTCTACTCTCGGCGCTTGCGTGGTAGTTCCGCATGCGCAGTCGGGGCTGGCGAAGCGCACGCTGAGGTTCGGCTGCTGCTGCTGGAGGAGCGAGTCCGGGATCTTTCGGATCAAAACGCTCGACGTGAGACCCTAGTGCGGCACTCACACACATAACTCAGGTGACTAATCCCCTCAGCTCGCTTTCTTCAAAACTTTCCTTTGGTCAGTGATGGGTGGTCGAGGGTGGGCTTGGAGCTAAGACACCCCCACACACACACCCTTTTCCCCCGTCCCTGAGCGGGAAGTAGCCGGACGCCGCCGGCTGTGCCGCGCGCCTCCTCGCCGGTGCCCAGCGAGCTTCCGTGTTCCAGAGGCTTCTGTGTACGAGTGGCCGAACCTCGGGGTAGAAAAGGGGTCATTGGCCGTATGCTTAAAGTGAGGCCCCACCACTTGGGGCGGCTGGGAGAGAACGCTCCGTCACCCGTACCCCCGCCCTAGGACCCAGCCCTCTGCTACTTCCGGGCCTCCGAATTCCATCACTCTTTTTTTCTTCCGCCCCAGCAACACTCGGAATATGGTTTCTACGTGGAAACCCGGCACCTCACAGATCCAGTGGACTGGGTCACCATGTTGAAAGGACCTGGGTTAACGAGGACCCAAGAATGGCTTAGTCATCCAGCAGTCGGTTTATAAAAACCCTACCATTGCTTTACCGCCCTTGTGCATTTCTGTCGACTGCATCACCCCTTGAATTGCAACTGAATTCGACGACTGGAGGAAGGGCTGCTGTGGTTTAGGATCGGTTTGCCATCACGGGAACGGAACCGTAGAAACACTCATTACACGGGTTGTATCCTTGGGCATAACAAAGTAATACTCTCGGCTGAAATACTTTTTGGACCGAGGGCCCTTTATCGCCACCGCTTGCGCCGCGTTTCTTCGATTAAGCAGGAGGCGCTGTCTTGAACACGAGGGAAGTCTAGATTTCATCCAGAGGGGGTGTTTTTTCTGGGGGGAACCTCGTGCTCTCTGGCTTTTTAACAGTTTCGGAACTAGAGACCTGACTGCCAACTTTCAGTTCATCAGATGCCAGGTGACAGTTGCTCTGTCTCTAAAGATGTCGTTGCCTGAGACCCAGTCGTGTTGACAGTCACTTGGTGGTGCTTCCTATGGCGGCAGCAGTGAAATCCTTTCCAGTAAACTGAGCTCGTTATTTGGCCTCCAAATATGAAACGCAGGTCCTAAGAGGAACACAACTGTGTTAGGTTGGAAGTAAGGCCATCTTGTCACAGAGTTGCCCCCTTTACAATTTAGTTTGGGGAGGAATGTGGGCTCCCTGGAGCGTTTGGTGAGCTGATCATGCCCTGCTTTAATCAAGCGTTCCAGCCATTTGACCAAGCAATATTACAGTGGGGTCTTAGGTAGCTTGGAGTGAACACATATTGAAAGAAGACTTTATTCTTATTTCAACATACTGGTGCCAGTTGCCATCTTTGATGCAGATCCATAGTGACCCGTGTGTTTGTGGGTAGAATTGCCCTTCACAGTGTTTTCCTTCAGAATCAGATCCCTGGGCTTTACCTACCAGGCAGTTAGATGGCTGTAACTCACCAGCCCTTTGATAGTTGCTTTTTTGCACCACCCACTCCCAATATACCTTTTTAATGGGTGTTGGTTGGTGGTATTTTTGTTTTGCTTTTTAAATTAAATCTCAGCACATCCAGTGTTCTTTAACATTGAGGCTTTGTGGGTTAGAGAAAGAAGCGGTGGATTCGATGTTAGAGGAAAAGGGTTTAATTCCTGTTCTGCTTGCGTAGCATTTGCCCTTGAGGGAGGCACTTATTATTTCTGTGCCATAGTTCTCTGTACATTGATTCGCTGTGCTCCTTTCCTAGTCCCTTGTGTCCTCTGTACTCCAGTAGGAGCCTCTCTTGTATCACCAGTACTTGGTCTGTAGTAACTCTGCCACAACAACAAAAATTATTTGGTAAATTAATAAGTAATACCTCCTTTGCATTTTAACATCTTATGTTGAGACAGCATATCACACTCTTCAAAATGGGGGGGGGGGTGTTGGGCGGACGGTTTTATCTTGTTTGAGTCCATCGACATTGAGCTCTGGCAAAGACGAGAACCCCAAGCAGCCACAGCCAGCAAGTAGGAGAGCAACGACTGGAAGTGGCACCTGGGGCTGTTGCCTGGGCTTCCCACTCTGCTTTCCTGGCTTGAGGGCTTGCTGAGGGCCAAAGCAAGTGAGGCACAGTGCTGTGGCAAGAAAGGGTTGAATTGAAAACCCAAGCCAGTTGATTTTGTTTTCCCAAATGACACAAATAAATTAATGCTATTCGTATTTGCATTCTATAAGAGATAAGGTCAAATTCTGTCAATTAGTATTGAAGTTTTTTTTATTAAATAAATTCTTCTGCTAACTTGAAGCTGCTTAGCTTTAGTGAGAGCAACCTACCATTCCCATTGTTCCTGTATTTAATCTATGTTTTGCAGACTTGTGCCTCCTAAAGAAGTTGGTTCATAGCTTCCCTCAGAATTTTTACTCACGCCTGTATTCTTTAATCATCAAATTAAGCCTTTAAAAGGGGGGAAAACCCAAACTCAGTGACCCTATAGATAGGGTAGATCTGCCCCTGTGTATTCCCAAGAGTGTAAATCTTTACAGAGTAGAAAGCCCCATCATCTGCGGAGCAGCTAGTGGATTGAAACCACTGGCCTTGTGGTCAGCCGCTCAGTGCATAGTTCACTACACCATCAGATACTAGCTGAAGGTTTGTTGATAAGAAATGTGTTAATATTAATCTCTTGTAAACTGTTTAGTTTCCATTATATCATTTATTTTGAGGCCCATTTTGAAAACTTGAAACTTTATAGCTTTCAATTCTTAATACATACATTTGACCACAGTCCCCACCCCCACCCCACCCCGCGCGCCTTTAAAAAATACCCTATTTAAAAATAAAACGGGGTTGGGTGGGCAGGAAGAGACAGTTAACTTAGCTGTTTCTTTGTGGATAACTGGCCGTTGAATGGTAGCTCCCTGTATTTGCTAAACCCCTATTTTGTTAAGCTACAGGAGAACTCAGTCTAGCCATTGTCATATGTTTTTGTTTGTATGCAGAAAGACAAGGTTTTCCACTCCTATTAAGAGTTACAGTCTTTCCGTTACTGTTCCTGGCATTGATTGCCTTGGTACAATACAACCATGGAGAGTCACACAGGGCTCCTGCTGACAGGGCCTGTATTGCGATCAGATTTTCTGTGCAATGGCTCCATACGTACGTATTTGTGTGAACAGTCTCGAAATCCCACAGGGATTCCCCCCCCCCCCTTGTCTTACGGGCTCATTGAGTTGGTTTCAACTAGGAGGTGGTGAGTTTGATTTTTTTGTTCTGTTTGTTAACTAGGACAAATTAGCAGCATCTCACCCATCTGTGGTTTGTGATCCAACACTGCATATGTATATTAATGTTGCTTTTTGTTTAAGTATGCTGTTTCTCATTGTAATATGTGCATTTGTTGATAATACCGAGGAAGTACAACCTCGTGGAAAAAGCATAGATGGGGTCCAAACAGTCTCTTTGCTCTTTGCTGGTGCTGTGTGAAAGAACTTTAAAGCTGGGCCTCAAGTTCCTTATGAAATGAAAGAACTAGGAGGAAAGTGGTATCTAGAGAGAGAAGCAGAGGCCAAATTCTATTGGGCTCTGTAGGTAGTAGGATGGAGTCTGTGTCAATGGGGAGCACTGGAAAGATAATGTGGGTGCCAATTAGCAGTTCCTAAACTACCCTGCAGCTGAAGGTGGTGTGGGTGGTCTGCAAATAACAGCAGCGTATCTCCTAGTTAACAAGGAAAATATTTAATCCATCTAAATGTTCAGTTTTTCTCAGATATTTAGGTCTTACTAATAATTAACTACTGAACTCTGATAACAGTAAATAAATAGGTGAAGGTTAGCTTAAAAAGCTATGATTAGCTTGAGAGCTTACTTTTAAAAACTATCTAGCCCTGGTATGATTTCAGCTTTGTTCAGTTCTGTATTAAAGGAATGGAAATGTTTTGTGTTGCTGAAGAGTAATGACTTATTAGGTACTCCACCACCTAACCAAATCTGAGAGCCGCTGTTGTAGAAGAGAAGAGAGTGATCCTAGAGTAGCTTGGGTGGATCAAAGGGTTGAATATAGATGTGATGCTTGGCGGTTAAGGGAAATTTTAACTTTGTAGTAAATGAAACCTATAAAGCTATACTCAAGGTTAGGTATAGCTATTCAACAACAACAAAATTGGAACTAATGAGAAGAGTCCAAGATCAAAATTATTCAACTTTTTTTTGAAACGGAAGAAAATGAGAAAGGAGGAGCCATTTAAGTGATGGTTAATATCTGTTGTGATTATTACAGTTCTGGGGTTTGTCCCCACCTGTATACAGTGGGGGGAAGTGTGTACAGCCTTAGCTGAGTGGTAGCTTCACTGATGGGTTTATAAGAGTAATGATGCTTTGCATCATTTTGGTATTACTTAAGGTGGTATTATTAAAGTAATACTTTACTCTTGATTGTACTTTTAATCCTTGGGTCTCCGAGTGCTTTATAGGTGGTTATTATTTTTTATGGTTCCTCTGAAACTAGGAACAGAGAATAACCCAGCCTTACAGAATGTGGAACAAAATAAAAATTAAAATTTGGTTCTTACCAGAGCTTATTAGATGTTCTTCAAAGATAGTTTGAAACGGATCAAGATTAACTGAGTTCTGTAGTACTCATCTCCAGATACCATTCCAGAAACTTAAAGAGGTGAGAAAACTATTAAACTATGTTTTCCTTTCATCTTTTTTTAACCATCTGTAAAGCACTCTGTAATCTAAGGCTTAAAAGTATACTTAGGGGTAAAGTATTACTTTAGTAACATCCCTTTAAGAAATGCCATGCAAGATGTTGGAAAGTTGACTCTTCTTGAGTCATAAGTGAGTATGTTTGGTTCTTTTGCTCTAATTGCAGGATGCCGAGTCTGAGCTGTAGGTTTTACCAGCATAAGTTCCCTGAGGTGGAGGATGTCGTGATGGTGAATGTGAGGTCCATCGCTGAAATGGGGGCCTATGTCAGCTTGCTGGAGTACAACAATATTGAAGGCATGATTCTTCTGAGTGAGCTGTCCAGAAGGCGGATCCGTTCTATAAACAAACTCATCCGAATTGGCAGAAACGAATGTGTGGTGGTCATTCGAGTGGACAAAGAGAAAGGTAAGTGGAAAAAAAACAAACTAAAATGAAGTTCAGACTTCTGGTTGTTGATCGTTAATGCACAAATACAGATTTTGGTCAATTGTCTACTGTAATATTTTTTTAAATCTTTATTTTAAAATATTGAGGTTTTTTTTTAATATACTGAGTTCTTAGAGGATACCAATTAACTGAGTAACACCACTTTTAAATTAGTAGTGATTTATTAATGCATTTAGGAGCTATTGTGGGTCAAAAGACACCTTTAAATTTTATTCCCAGCCACGAATATCTGTGTTGGCACACAGCAATCATTAGTATCTTGGTAAATGACTCATGTTTGCCAAATCTAGAGGAGACACACACAAGTAAGCTAAGTTTGTGTGCACTGCAGGCTAGACCATGTCTGCTGCCTAGGGAGCCCTTTCCTGATTTAAAGCGAAAGCAGTAATCCAAGCAGGACCATAAGCCAAAGGTATGTGAGTTTTAGGGTTTTGGTTTCGGGTTTTTAAAATTTTTTATTATTTGTTTGTTTGAAGATTTAGGAAGGCAATTTATCCACCGCCTTACCTTAACCTATAAAGTTATGATGGAATGTTTCCACGTACTTTAGAATCCCCCTTGTATCTCTGGTAATGTGTCTCCCAGATTTAACATGGATCGTTAGAAAGTGCTGAGTGAATATTAATGTCTTTTAATCATTTGCTACTTTTATTCTGGACCCCAGGTAACCATCCCTTTTGTGAATACAATTTTTATAAACAGTGTATAATACAAGTAAATAAGTTTCCGCTTCATCTGGCTTAATATAATTGGGCCCAACCATCTTTGTTACTTAAGTTCTCATTTCCAGTTAGTAGTTAATCATAATGGTTGGAAGGCTGCATTTAAATCACTTTGATTGAACTTGAATCTTCTTAGTATCCAGTGCTCTGATACTTTTCTTCACTTCTCCAGAGGCATAATATCATATATAACTGGCACTTAGTTTTTTATGAAAGTGTCTTTATTACACAAAAAAAGAAGGAAGCAGATATATTTTTAAGATCAGAAAGAAATGGTGGAAGGATATATTTGCATAAATAAGATATATGTAATATGTCCATAATAGTATTTACAGTATTAATAAAACCAGGAAATCAAAATGAGGACTGGTTAAATTAAGTTAGGAATGATGCACATGCATGCAATACAATTTTATACAGAAAGTGTTATATATTCTAACATGGGAAAAGCGCTATGGTAGAAAAAGAAAAAAGCAGAAGAAAATATCCATTCTGGGTAATAGAATAGTTCATATTGTGGGAATATGAAAAAATTACCTGAAGACCATGGAGAGCAACCAAAAGCAGGGGAAAATCTAAATACTTGACTTTTAGAAGGAGGCAGTTGCACTGCATGCGTTCTCTGTTTTATGCCCTGAAAATAGACAGCAGCCAGTATCAAGCAGGGCTGCTGAAGCTAGAATGGAAAGCCCAGAGTCTTCACTGACTTGATCACAGCAGCT